GGGGAGGTGACCTTTTACTCACTGCTGACTGACTCACTGCTACATTTCCGCACGGCGTATTCCGAGTTGTCATTCTGCCCGTGGTCTTCAACATGCCCACCTCTGACTTTATTTAGAAGACTGTGGCCAAATTATTCTCTTTTCACCTCAAAACCCCTATGCTTCTGTCTCAAGAGCCCTTCCTTTGCCTTCCTCCGGGATCCTTCCACCTTCCTGAAGATTCCACTCCATCAGTTTAGACTCTTACATTTTCACTCTCTCTTCTTTCCTATGGATTCTTTTTCTCTGACGATAAGGTAGGTCCAAGCCTTCTTAGGCTAAACACATTACTTTCTCCATAGAATGTCATTTCGCTGCTGCATCAAACTCTCCTTCCGCTTCACCACCCAACGAATTTGAAAGTCTTCACTGCATTCCATATGCACCACACCCCCCACTCTAACCCCCAACTTCCACCTGCCTCAAAGATAATCAGGCAAAGCCAGGAGCCAAAACCATTGGCTTTTTTGCTTTGTTGCGCCCTGGGCCCCATGGGGGGGGGGGTGCCGTATGAATGATACAGGAACGATGGTGGCTCCCTCACCTTTCCCAGCTTCCATAATGCCATGTGACTTCCACCATTTTGCTCCAGCTGCCCCTGGTTTAATACTGCTCCTAATGCTCTTCTTTCTCTTTTCCCTCCAACAGACAGACATCCCCTACATCCTACCCTTACCTGTGGCTTTGTTTTGCTCCCTTTCCTTCCCTGGCCGTTCCTGAAATATCAAAATCACTCCTAAGTTACAGGACTCACAAATCTCTTTTTGTAGCTCTGAGTTCTCTCTGAAAAACCGACACCTACATTCTCGTCCCTTCGTTTGGACAAATCTGTCATGGCCAAATGAAAGCTCTTTTTTCTCCTCTTCCTCATCCTTCTGAACCTCCTCTCTGACAACAGCCCAATCACTGTCTCAGCTGAGGCCCATAATGACTTCTGACTTCCCTTCTCAGCATTTAGATTATTCCCACACTCCGTCCGGAGTCTTTCTCTTCTCTTCTTCCCACTGCCTCATTTCTTTTTACCCCTAATTTGACAATAGACTCTATCTGGTCTCCCCACAACCAGTCTTTTCTCATTGCATTATGTCCAACACAATGCTACAAGGTTGTTCTCCTAAAGCACAGTTCTGACCCCGTCAACCCTCTTCCTCAGAAACCTCCCATGGCTCCCTAGTACTTACTGACTGAACTCTACACACAAGCTCCTCCACAACCTTGAAAGCCTCTCTTTCCCACCTTCTCTCTCATTACACCCTTGGCATTTCCTGCACTTCAGCCAAAGCACACGATTCTTTGGGCAAACACACACCCTTCTGTCACCAAGTCTCTGCTACTCACTCCTCCTCATGCATGCCCTTCCTTCCCTGCCTGCCCAGACGCCGCCTGTATAAATCTCAGCTCAAATGCTATGTGTTCCGTGTAACATTCACTAATTCTTCCACTGGATGTCATTGTTATACCTTGTGAATACCCACAGCCCTTGAGGAATACAGCTTTTTGGGTAATGTGGCCATTTTGCCCATTTTTTTTAAAGTTTGTGTTTATTGATTTTGAGAGAGACAGAAGCAGTGCAAGTGGCAGAGGGGCAGAGAGAGAGGGAGAGAAAGAGAATCCCAAGCAGGCTCCGCTGCTGCCAGTACAAAGCCTGACATGGGGCTCGAACTCACAGAACTGTGAGATCATGACCTGAGCTGAAATTGAGCGAGGTGCCTCATTTTTGCCCCATTTTTATAGTAGTCGGTTAATCATATGCCCAGCCTCTCCTTCCCGGCCATGCATTTCCTCTGGGCAGGATCTAAGTCTCCGTATCCTTCACATCTCTGGCGCTCTCAACATCCCCCAAACTCTACGCAAAGGTACAAACAGCCTGGAATGAATAGGCAGTTAAGAAGTATTTGTAAGTTGGGGCGCCTGGGTGGCTTAGTCGGTTAAGCGTCCGACTTTCGCTTAGGTCATGATCTCGCGGTTCGTGGGTTCGAGCCCCGCGTCGGGCTCTGTGCTGACTGCCAGCTCGGAACCTGGAGCCTATTTCAGAGCCTATTTCAGAGTCACTCCCTCTCTCTCTGACCCTCCCCTGCTCACACTGTCTCTCTCTCTCTCCTAGAAATAAATAAAACATTAAAAAAAAAAAAAAAGAAGTATTTGTAAGTTAATGACTGCAACCCAAAGGGTTAACTTTGGCCTCTAGTCCTTGAAATTCTCTCCCTGTTACTAACAATTACTTTTTCCTGGTAGGACACAAGTCTCATCTCCCCACGGTACCAGAGTTTATTTCTTTTGGCCCCACAGGCCGATTTTCAAATGTCTTTTACTTCCAAGTTTTCTGAAAAACTAACTTCTTTAAGAGACCCGGTAATGGCAAAGAAAAGCATTAACGGCACTTTAGGTGAAGAAAATGCATCCACGGAAAAGAAACGGCTTGCTGGGGGCTATAGCACAAGGTAAGGTGGTTTACCAGCCTGAATTATAGGATTCAAGCTGTATCATTAACTTTTCAGTCCAGTCTTTGGAAAAGCCAGCCACTGTATTTTTTTTAATTATCACATTCATATTAGAAAGGAAATCACTAATTCCTGAGTCATCAATTGTGTCGTTGTATAATTACTCTTCTTCCAGTGTATTTACCTTGTCAATTTCGAATAATTCTTAAACTTTCTTATAAGACATTTACATCTCTGGATTTTACTTGCAAATATAAAGACAACTTAAAAAAAAAAAAAACACACACACACACAGAGCCTCTTCGAATGCCTTTTAAATTCCGTAAGTACTTTTCCCAGAAAGACATTGGCAGAATGGATAGGGAGTAAAGAACTAAGATTCAAAATTCATTTTTTTTTTTTATAAATCTATCCTTAAATCTTGGAGGAGATCCAACAACCTCACATTAAAATTTTAGAAGGCTTGACTGAAGGACACGAGGAAATTTAATGTCCACAGCTTCAAGAGCACCTGGTCTATATATCATGATTAATTAAGAGAAGATAAACAGAAAGAAAAAACCATATGTGCACAGCACCAGTTTTGTTCTTTTTGATGTAACAGCAATATCACGCAACCTTTGCCAAAACAAAGCAAATTTAAAAAAAAAAAAAAAGGAAAAAGAGAAAGGACACTCTGATGCCAACGTGTTATGTATTTATTTGTATAGCCATGACTGCTACAGGCTCTTCAAAGAGGACCAGGGCAGCCAGTTTGGATTCTGACAGCAATGCAGTAGAATCTAAGGTGTTGTGATTTAAATATGTTCTAAGCAGGCTAAGCTAGTCACACAACATTTTAATAAAGAAGTCTCAAGATATTACATGGAGAGGTACATTAATTCCTACAAATACCGCAGGAGAAATACAGGCACTGGGGAGTCGAACTGCAGTGGACACACATATGAATATGCTATCTCCCTGTCTCTACCCAAGCCCACATAAGCCCATCTTTATCACGCAGAGACAATTAAACAGCTATACACTCTGGATGCAGTTCTGTGTCCTGGCTCCCGCTGGGTGACTTATGGCCAGCCTGACATCTTTCACATTCTCTATTAGCAGCCTACATTGGCTGGGAAAGCAGACCTCACCAACCCAGGACCCCATCATCATGGGTTTTAGGAGATTTCAGTTCGTGAATGACATGTGGCACCACCTAGCCGTTGTGAAAGCTGGGAGAGTGGATGACACCAGCCATAGAAATAAAGTATCCCTTTTCCTTAGGAAAACGCCCTGCCTGTGCGACGCTGACCAAGGGGGTAGCGAACATTTCTCAGTATGATCTTTTTCTTCTTTTCAGACACTCCCCTGACCCCATCTTTCTCTATACACCTCCAGAGTTCATTCTACAAGAACCCACATAAAGATCACCCGTTCTTCAGCCTTAAGGCTTCCAGGGTTGAAATGTGAATGGAGAAGGTCTAGTTGACATTCCAAGTTGTGGGGACGGAGAGATGAATGTGGCCATTAAAGACCCTTCTTCTTGAGGTCAGACAAGAGATAAACAATAGAAACTGCAGAGTCAGGGCATCTGAGACCCTTCCAGAACAGGGGCTGGGGAGAGAAGTGTCACCGGATAGAAGCTCCCTTCCAAACCCCGGAAGGCTAGCAAGCCCAGAAGTGGTACCATTATCCTATTACACTGCCTGGCATGCGCCCTCAGCCCACATGCACACTTCCACATCCTCATGTCCAGGAGCCCGAGAAAGGGGAAGTGAGAACCCCCGCACGCCGGCCATCCACACACAAGAGCGGAACACACACTGCACTCAGAATCGCAGGGTCAAAATAACAAACCCTGTCCCACAGGCGGCGGGTGACAGCAAGTCAGGGCACCGGCAGCTCTCTGGGTTTGGAGCGCAGTTAGGGGAGCGCGGATGCAATGAGACGAGTGCACACACATACACACACTCACACACATGGGATTTTACAAACCCGCACCGACCCCACCGCCTCTCTCCACACTCACACACCAAGTGCATCCTGCCCTCCTCACCGTTGCGATCCCCACACTTCTCTCCGGGAGAGTCGCGGCCGAGGGATGAGGGATCCTAGCGGGGATTCCTGGAAATGTCATTCTCCAACACCTTCGGTCCGCCACCCCCATCCCCTTGGCTGTACCTTGTACACACACACACACACACACACACACTCACACACGCACACCCCACTCCTGCCTTGACTGCCATCAGGCACGCCCCGCTGCCCCCAGACCCCCGCATCTCTGCGCGCACCGGACACCAGGCGTCCCCGCCTCCAGCGCCCCCTTCCCCCGCCCCGCGGGCGCGGTGGCTCAGGGCAGTGCCCCCGCAACGCCGCCGGCTGTCCCCGCTCACCCGCACCATTGTTCCAGGCGGCCCCCCTCGCGCCCGGGGGCAGCCTTCAGCGAGGACCCGGGCTCCGTCGGGGGCAGCATCAGCGCCGGGCGCCCCCCCCCCCGCCCCACCCCGCTCACCCACCCCTCCCTGGCGGCGGTACCTTGCCTGACAGCTGGGTCCGCGGGCCCGCGGGAGCTGGCGGCGCTAATGATAGCGCCGGTGCCCAGCCTGGGAATAAAGCTCTGCTCCGGCCGCTCCTACCTCCAGCGCCACCATCTTCTCCCGCCGCCGCCGCCGCCGCCGGCACCGCAGCCGCCCTCGCCCAGCTCCGGCTCGGGCTCGGCAGCCGCCGCTCGGGCCCCTCGGCTCCGCGGCCCCACCCCCTCCGGCCCGCCCGCCCCTCGTGACGCGCGCCGGGGCCGAGCCGGGCCGGCCTGCGCGGGAGGGCGCCCGGGGGAGCGCGCGCGCACACGCCGGCGCTAGTAGCGCCCCTGCCACCCACGCCCACCCGCGCGCACGCGCGCCGCGCGAGCCCGAGGCGGCGAGGCGGCGTCCCCTCCGGCGAGCCGGCCCCGGCGTGGGTGGGCGTGCGCGGGTGCCCGCCGCCGCCGCAGGTAGCGCCCTGGCCCGGCCGGCTGCATCCCGGAGGTGCCTGCCGGGGGCCTCCACCCTCGTCGGCGGAAGCCCGGGGCGGGGGAGGGTCCCGGTTTCCTTAAGCAGCGGCTGAGGCCGACCTCTGCGCGCGGGACCGCGAAGCCGGGCAGCCGCGGCGGCCCCTGCGCTGTGCCGCCTTTCCTTAGTTACTCCCGAGCTTTCCCGCCCGCCGCCCCGTGCACACCGCCCGCGCTTCTCGGGGAGGCAGCCTGGCGGCGGCTCTGGCCCGCGCTGCAGTGCTGCGTCGCCGCCGCTAGGGGGAGAGCCCCTCGGGTTTGGGCCCGAGCGAAGCTTGGCCGCGTTTGCAGCCCTCGAGGGAAACTGCCCAGTCCCGAGGGCGAGGCAAAAAGCCTCCAGCTTCTGATGCCGGGAAATGACCGCCTGGGTGTTGTTGCTGTTGTTGTTTTTTAAACCCGCTTGTCAATTCTGGTTGGTCCGAACTTGAAATGTATTTGAAGCTGGCTTAGGGCATCAGCCCCAGATGTGGTCGGGAGGGAGGGGACCTTTGCAGGAAGGCGCAGGTGGCAGGTGCTCTGTGTTAATGCAAAGCGGTGCGCAGGACAGGCCCCCGGGGACCTGGGGCCTGGCGTCAGCCTCACCTGTAATTGGCGGTGTGATACGAGCCAAGTCAGCCCCCCTCTTCGGGACAGATTTCTCAGTAATAACAAGTTGTGTTTGCACAAAGCCTTACAGTTTGCAAAACCTTCTTCAGGCACGTTCTCCTCTAGTAAGATGGAGATGAGCCTTGGTTATCCGGATGCCTTGGGAACTGGGTCTTTTACCGCTCCGTGTTTCCATATTATTTTAAGCACAATGCCTTCAGAAACATGGGGGCGGGGGCGTAGGCTGAAGCTTTCCCGGAATCTTGTGTTTTAGCTTTAAAATTCATATGAATTTTGCATTTTACTCCATAAAGGATCTTTTATTTTTGCTTTAATAAAGAAAATAATAGATTCTCCCTTCCCGAAAAGATCTTGCGGTAAAATTGAAATATTTACCAGGAGGGTATATCATGCCTGTCCTGTGACGTTACATATTCTTTTTATAAATTTTTTAGTAAGTATTTATTCTGCATGTGTTCCAGACACGGCCCCTGTGCTCCCAGAACTCACAGCCCCCGGAGCAAACAGGTATCAAACAATCAGACTAACAATTAAACGCAACTGTGATTGACTCTCAAATGCCAAGGGGCTGAGGGTTCACCGGGAGACCTAATCTAGACTCCAGGATTCGTAAAGCTTCCCAAGGAAATGACCCACGAGAGGCGGCTGTGAAACACTTCCAGGGACAGAGAGAAGCAAATGTGCAGCAGCACCCCCTGCGGGTGAGGTAGAAGGGAGAGGGAGCGTGAGACGGGCCGGAGAGGCAGGCAGCCGAGGTCAGAACTTGCAGGACCCCGTGGGCCATTTTAAGTAAGGATTTTATCTTAGGAGCCTTGGAAAGCTTCTGAAAGGCTGAAAGCGGGTGATCATGAGCTCATTTCATTTTCTGTGTGAACAACGAATTCATGGAGGGTCAGGGTCCAGGCAGGAGAAACTCTGACCCCTTGACGCATCCCTGCCCATGCTACCTGGTGTTTTCAGCCTCTACACCAGTTGGTTTTGGGGTCCTTTCAGAGTGCCTCTCTGTAAAACCCCCCATTTTGTTAACTTTTAATCCACTGTAGTTTTAGGAAGGAAGTTAGTTAGCTAATCTTGTTAGAGTTTCAGGTTAAGTAAGGGAATATAGGTTCTGAGTCAGGAGCGCTTTTCTATGGATACCCTTCGTGCTGTTTGGTTTGTTATCTCGGAGATCTTCTGCTTATTTTCTACTTTTGCATTGTGCCCCCAGCGAGGCAAAGCTCCTTGATGCATGAGTGAGAGATACATTATTGCTTTAATAACACCATCCCCTCCAATCTTGCATCACAGGATTTTGGTGCAAACTAAAGAAAGTGTGTAAATTACTCTGCAAAGCATTAAGTGCTATATGAATGAAAGTAATAATGGTTATAATGTCAGCTTAGAGACCTTCAGAACTAATTAGTTCCCAAATATTAATATCTGGAAAACTCGCTCCTTCCTCCTGCCCCCACCCTCCCATGAAAACCACAAATACGCCTCTTCCATATGGGCAATGTAAATCCTCCTCTCAAGTGCTCATGTTACTTTTTGTGCCTTGGCTGGCAGGAAACTCGAAGCCAAAGTGCGGGTCAGTGCAGGAAATGAGCGCATCCACAGGGCCCTCATATCTACGTCTCAACTCTTCCTTCAGTCTTGTTTTTCTATCTATAGTTTTCCTGTGCCTGCTGTATTGGCATTTTTGTAATATATTATAGATATTCTTAGAAGCCGCTTCAAATATTTGTATCCACCTCCTTTTAACAAGGGTCAGGACTGCTGTTCAATGTTTCAGAAGGCAGTGTATGAAATCAGGGCCACCTGCCAGCCATCGTAGCAGGTACCCGTACCGTAGACACTGTGCCAAGGGCCTGGGTTTTGAATTAAAGCCTTGCCCAGCACTGCATGTGGATCCGAAGTCTCTGTGTACACCAGTTCAGAGCCTTGTATTTAGCCACATTTGTTTGTCTCCCACTGGTTCATAGACAGTTTCCTTCAGCGTGAGCTCCGAGTTCCCCGGGTCCATCTGCCTGCCCTGTACGTACCAAGTATATCTCACAAGTACGAACACTTTGTCACTTGGTACCAGGGCAGGGATCCACGACCTTTTATTCACTTAGGTTTCTTTTTGTCCGCGATGACCTGGAGATTCCAGGATTCGCTACATTCATTCAGACGTCACAGGAGTGTGCCCATGTCTTTCAAGCTTCCATAGGACTCTGGACAGCGCAGACTGGGCATGTCTCTTCCCATAGCGGTAGATACTCTTCCTTGATTTCAAGTTCTTTCGTGATTGCCTTCTTTCTCTCTGTCCGAGTTTACGTCTGAGGAGCTGAAGGGTATGTGCAGAACATTCAACAACCTTTGGGTACAGAGGTTTTTTGTTTTGTTTTCTTTTGACGATTTTAGTTCTGCTAACATTTGGTAATTCTGAAACCTTTCTAATCCACAGAATAGTACTTTTGTCACCGAATTTCTAAATTGTGAGCTAAATTACAGTTATGAAGCGTACATGTCCTAAATCTTAATACATTTGCTTTTTATATGCTGATTCTTTTTTCACCAGCTTTTTCTCTGCACATAAATTCTGTCATGGCTTCAGATAGGTCCCCTTCCTTTCCTTTCTATTTGCCAAATGGGTCAGGCTCCCTCTTTATTTTTCTTGAATCACATTCATTGTGACCTCGAATGATTTGAAGGAGAATTTTGTGCTATGGCTGTGTTTGTGCGATACATTGGCGGACACTCTGGGGCCACAGAGAATAATTCTGCCTCTGCAGGTTCTGAGTGCAGTTTCTGAGTGAAGAGTGTCACGGGAATGCATTGTCTTTAAAAAGTTTTTTTCTTAAGTTTATTTATTTTGAGAGAGAGAGAGTACACAGGCGAGCGGGGGAAGGACAGAGAGAGAGACAGAGAGAGAGAGAATCCCAAGGAGGCTGCACAGAGCCTGTGTCAGCACAGAGCCTGACACAGGGCTTGATCTCGTGAACCATGAGATCGTGACCTGAGCCAAATCAAGAGTCAGACAGATGCCCAACTGACTGAGCCACCCAGGTGCCCCAACACATTATCTTTTTTGAATGCTCCTATGCCTCTCCCTGAACCAGCCTCCATGGCCGCTAACAGCAGGGCTCCCACTCCTGAACCTGGGTCACTCCTCCCCAAGCCACATGGCTGACGGAGGACAGAGCAGGACCTCTGAACCACAAGAGAGGCAAACAAAAACATCAACTATTTTGTTCGTTTCAGGCTTATTATAGTGGAAGATGAAGAACTTTAATCTGAATATACAGGAATAAGGGAATTGGTACGTAAATTGATATATATTTACAGTGTTAAATTACGCATCTGTTAAAGATACCACATCCACCAATTTATTTTTTTATTTAAAAATTTTTAATACTTTACTTATTTTTGAGGGAGAGAGGGTGAAAGAGTTTGCAAGCAGGGCAGGGGCAGAGAGAGAAGGAGACACAGAATCTGAAGCAGCTCCAGGCTCTGAGCTGTCAGCACAGAGCCCGACGTGGGCCTCGAACCCACAAACCATGAGACCATGACCTGAGCCAAAGTTGGTTGCTTAACTGAGTAAGCTACCCAGGCACCCCAGATAGGTTTTTATTCTTAATAATGTAAGAAAAAGTTTAAGTTTTCATCTTCACTGAAAAACTCTGGATACAAAATTATGTAGTCAGTTGATTACAACTGTTAATATGTGCACAAAAAATCAAGTACATCAAAATGTTAGTAATAGTCCACTTGACGAGTATGGTTATTTTCCTCTTTCAGTGCTTTAGTGGTTTTAAAAAAAATTTCTGCAGTGTACAGTGACCTGAACAATGTGAATAAGATTATTTAAAATGTGGCTGTAAAATTAACGTTACCACCAGATGCCATAAAAATAACTATTGGGTCACTTTGCATTTCAAAAGCATTTTTTTCCAGATTAGATGTATCCTTCCAGGCTTATTTGAAATACCACATACGTCAGGAAAACATTTTCCGGCTATGTCGCTCTCACTGGTGTCCCTTATTATCTGAAAATGTGCTTGTAGCATTAACAGCCTATAGCCTCTATGCAATGACAGGATAT